TTAAGCTTTTTAATTTTTTAAACATTTCAGCGTATCTTTTAAAGTAGTTAGTTTTTTATAGATATATATTGTTTATACATGCTCTTTTTATTTTACGTTATACAGGGCCCACGTTGATACCAGTCCTGCGACTGAAGGGGTCACCCTGTTTAAATATCGATTATTACTATTATTATTATTATTATTATTATTATTATTATTATGACTATTATATTTCTGAACAAAGTCAGTTGTCATGGCCTCAAACTCCAAACCGCAGTGAGTAGATTTTTGCGTTGTTCGTTCAGTAAAGTACGGCTAAAAAACAAATGATTTGCTGTATCAGAGCAATGTTGTTCCCGATTACAGGATTTTCTTTACCTTGAAGATTTTCCTAGTATGTTCATATTTATTTCGACTTCTTTACCTGCACTGTGCTGTATTTTGCGGCAATTCACTTCACACACTGTTCTCCGCAGAAATTGTTTGAGATTTTAGTTTTAGAGGCTGCGAGCACAGAAGTTTCACAAAGACAAGAAAACAAGTTAACAGAACCATATAGGCGAATATGTTTGCCAATTAAGTGCTTCTGTCCGCAAAATGTTTGCTTTAAGCTGTTAGCGGGCTTATAACTGGACATACACTTGGATTGGCAACTTAGATTTAATTTTTCTTAGAAGTCATCAGTTTTATATATAAGCTTAGTGCAATATTCCAGGTTTGCTTTAATTTTTTTGTAGTTGTGCACGTATATTTAAAAATGTATCGCTTATTTTTGTCTAGAGAATTATATACTGGACGGAGAAACATGATTCCATTTTTTCCCGAGAAATAATCTTTGTAAACCCATTCAGTACAAAGAAGAAATCCGTTCAGCGAAGTGCCTTGTTTCAAAAAGTTGCGGATATCCTAAAAAGCATCACAGATCCTGTTTTTTATGTGGATAAAAGCTCAGTTCGAGACCATATTGGGGATTTGGTCCAACGATTCAAACGAAAGGAGGCCAAGGAATTGAAGGAAAGCGGTACAAACCCTATGAAAACAGAAGCAAACGTAGCAATAGAACAGATTATTGCCATGGAAGAGTCTGCCGATGAGCAGCACGACCTTGAAGACGACGAAAAGAAGGACAAGATGGAGGAAGAAAGACTGAAAGAAGAAGAAATGCGCAGGACTGCTGTGGAGACACTGGGGAAAACACAGAAGTCCGAGGAGGGGAAGAGCAGAGCAAAGAAATGCAGAAGTGGGAGTGAAACGGTTGAGTTTCTGAAACTTAGGGCGGAGCAAGACATGGATGTTAAGAAGCAAAAGTTGGATATGAGAAGACAGGAGCAAGAGCAGATAGCTGAAGCCCAAAATCAGCAAAGGAATATGTTCAAACAAATGATAAAACAACAAGAACAACAGAAGCAAATGCATGACATGCAATCCTTACTAATGCTCCAATAGCAGCAGCAAACTACAGCATTGATGAAGATTATTGAAACATTAGTTCCAAAATAAACAAACTCCATTTTGCTTTAACTCTCTCAGGTCTCAGTTTACTTTGCTGTTATTGAACTGAGTTTACTTGGGCTTCTATTGAAAAGCAATATCTTAATAGTGTAAATGTGTTAGATGTTCAAATTGATGTCTGTAGTTTGGACTTTATTTGAACGCTTTTGGAAGGTTCAAAATTTAAATTTTTGTGGATGGATTAACATGGATGCTGACAGCCATAATAAACCTGATTTATTTGTTGTGTTTAATTTTATTTGACATTAATGGGCTCCTCTTGGTATCTTTCCATATAAATCTAGAACAGTTCTTATGTTAGGGGGTTACAAAAGACTGCATGATTAGGAAAAATAATCCTTGGGAAGGTGGGTCTAGGTCAAAAAACTGGGATGTTGAATTACCGTACAAACATGTCAAAACATTTTGAAGGATTGCACAGACAATGTACATTTTGCCCACTTGGCTGAGCCCAGTCTTAAGTTTCTTTTTGAAATCAAGAAATTTAAAATAATTTACAATATCAGAAAAAAGCCATTCAACGGAAGAACGGACTGCACTCATGGAACCGTTGTAAGCTTGCTGTTGGGGAGTCAGTAATCGCTGCCGGAAAGGTGCCTGGAGATGTATCCGAAGTGGGTATGCTGGATTCCCATAGATACACATCGGTTGGCCGGTTGTTGAGACAGCATGTGCCCGGAAACTGTTGTAAAGGCCTGACTCTGCCAACATTGCTGCTTTGCTTCCTTCCTTCTGTTTAGACAAGATTAGAACTTAAGTATATAAATAGAAAGCAATATTGATGCACAGGCAATTTGTTAATTGC